GGCGACCAATTCACCGGATACCCTATAATCTGTATATCAATGCATACCCAGGACTTTGGTTGGCTTGCAAAATATTATTAACTTTATCAGTAGGCCAAGTGTCATGTGAACACACTTTTCTAAATTAAAACTTGTGAAAACATCAATTCGTAGTACTTTAAGTTAAAAAAAATCTTAAAAATGCATGTTAATGATTGTAGAAAGAAATATGTTAATGAATCTCAATAATAATTATACATTAAAGCACAATTACAACCAAAAGTGATATTCTCAAAAAATTGCTTCAATATTCAATAGTGTTAAGTATTAAAACTTTAAACTTTGTAATTTATAAATTCCGTCATATTGTTATAATGTCAATATATTATGAAAATTTATATTTATAAATAAATGATCTAAACTTTTGACTACCTACCATATTTAATATTGATTAGTGGTTACAAATTACAATTATACATATAAAAATGTATTACATGTGCATAGTAAAAATGTATTACATTTATTTTCATTGGGCCCTTCCCATACGTTTCTCGGTAACATTAATTTAACCTATCTACCCCTGGCAGGGTTGTGATATCATTTGGATGGTTCGTTAAGAAAACGTCACACCCGTATGGATGGTGACCGGTCAAAATGTCTTCGAAATAATATCTTTGGTCAAAATATCTTGGTCAAAATATCTTTTGTGAAAATATCTTATGACAAAAATATCTTTGAACAAAATATCTTTTTTAGTGATTTTTATTAGCTTATTAGCCATCACATATATTTATATCTACGATCGACATTTTATATTCTATAATAATATTATACAACATTTTTAAATAGTTGCTATTTTACTAGTCTACTAATAATTAGGTAGTAGGGCAATATCTGTACGTAATCTTTACGGCGGTTATAATTCCGTAAAGATATGTGATTGTGAGAGCCGTTGACCTACTAATCCGTTTTTTACAAGAGGTATTTATATTTATTCTTATTTAATTAATACAAATAGAATAATTACGTGATATCAGGTTCGATTGGAAAAACGATTATTGGGAGAATCAAGTCCACCACGCCGTAAAAAGTACAATGATCATGATATTTTTTTGATATTACTAATTTTAATTTAATTAATTAAGTTTTTAATATTTATAATAATAATAATAACCCACAATACCTATATTTTTGGCTTTTGAAGAGATATTACTTTTTACCTATTTTTTTTTACTTATAATATTGTGTGTAAAAATTTATTAAATTAATTATATAAATAAACATTTAAAAAAAAAATCAGTTTAAAGATATAGTGATCAAAGATATTTTTGTCATAAGATATTTTCACAAAAGATATTTTGACCAAAGATATTATTTCGAAGATATTATGACATGGAACCGTATGGATTGTCTCCGTCTTATACACGTACGACAGTACATTTTCGTTCACCAGTTTCAATAGTGTGCTTTTAGTTTTGATATTAGAGTGAATTGACCTATAATCAAACTTTTAAGTAAGTACATTATCTGTGTTCTCTCGTAGGTTTTTTATGACATTTTACTTTTGAAGTGAGTTATTTGTATGAAAAATATAAATATATAAAAATGCTCATAATCTACTGAAGTTTTGTAGTTTTTTTTTTGGTCCATTTATTCTAATAATTTTTTTATGAATTCGACAAACTCAATAGCTTCGTTAAAAATTGATCTTTTTTTATGAATTCGACAAACTCAATAGCTTCGTTAAAAATTGATTCAATATGGTTACTTCTTTTATTAAACTATTTTTTAAACTGTGTAATAATGAAAATCCTTGTAAATAGTTAAATTTTGAATATTGCAATAAGATGAAGCTGCTGCATTCGATGAAAAAAAAACTGAAAAACGTTTAAAACATTATTTGATTTTCAGTAAGGTTATTTCACGTAACCACGGTTTTATTTTTTAAATCAGCTAGATTAACTGATGGATCTTTAAAGACTATTGTTTTCAAATGCCCCTCCTCCCTGTAAAAAAGAAAAAAATTAAAAAAATTAAATAGTTACCGATAATAAATAATTATGAATGGTTTTATGCACTTAAATGAATCCTAAAAATGTATTTTTTATTAAAATTGAAATTTCTCTCTTATCACAGACACCTCACATTGTTATAGTAGTAACAGTATAAAATAAATTCAAACCATTTAATAATAACTGAACTTGGTTTTATTTTAAAAACCAATATAAAAATTTCAAAATATCTCTTTTTTATCTGGTCCTTGATACTCTTCAAGAGTTTTCATCACCATTTATAAATCTCTCCATTTTTCTTTGTCCCGGGCTAGTTCTTTCCATTCTTGAACTCCTATTCTGTTAAGGTCCTCTTCATTTCATCTTACCATATTTTTTTTGGTCCACCTCGAGGTCTTTTTCCCGTAGGCTTCTCGTAGAGAGTACTCATATACTGATCCACACATTAACCTTCATAATTTGTTCTCAAAAGTTCTGAACTTTCTTTCTGTATTTCCTGTGGTATTCCATGCCTAGCGTCCATATGTGAGTGTGGTTCTTATTATTGTTGTGTACAACCTTGCTTTAGATTTTTTTTTTTGAAAAATATATTTAACTTTAAACTTATTTAGAGTGAAAGTTGCTCTTTCTGCTTTTGTTCAATACTGCACCTAAGTGCCGAAATTCATTAACCTTTTCGAAAGCTAAGGATCCCGTATCAGTGTTGCCTTCCTTGCATAACAGTTTCATTATTTTTGTTTTATCCATATTAATTTTTATACCAACTTTACTGGTTGCACGTTCAAGCACTTGAGCTGCTCTTTCTGTATCTTCTACAGAGTTTTCTAGGATGTTTAGATCATTGGCAAAAACAAGTATACACTGTTGACCTATCGCTATTCCAGTTGTTCCTATTTGCATACTTCTTATGGCTTTCTCCAAGGCTAAATTAAATAATGTGGGTGAGAGCGAATCTCCTTGTTTTAATCCTGTAATAATTACGAAATGTTCAGAAATTGTTTGTTCAACTCTTATTATGTACAGTGTGTCTTTCATGCACGTTTTTGTCAGAGCTACAAATTTATTTGGGATCCCGAAATACTCCGTTAAATTATTATGACTTTTTTTTTTTTTTTGAGATACTTTATTTTTTATTACAACAATAAATATATAAATTATAAGAAAACCAAAAAAACAAAATAAATTTAATTCTTTAAGCTATGCTTGTGATTGAGTATAGAGTTAACTTTTAACAAATTATAGCTAATTAAAAATGTAGTGTCAAAAGAAAAAAATACAGTTAAAGTTATTAAGTTTACATGTTAGGAAACGAAAAAAACGGATATACGAGTATAGAACATTAATATATATTTTTTACAAAATGGAATTGAAATAAAAAATAAAAACAAAATTATGTATTTAATATTGATTTAATGCTAAATCAATTTAAATCTATTTATATTAATTAAAATATATTATATTTAAAATTAAAAAACAGTCAATTATTATTTAAATTCATTTTATTAAAACAATCAGAATGAATATGTTTTCTGTACACAATAGGCATTTGATTAAATTAAGTTGGACCCAGATAATCAACAAAAAGTTTTCCAAAGGATATTTTAGTATATTTTACCGGTAGATCATAAATTCTATGCTTTTGTTTATGAATAGAAACTAAAATTTAAAACAAGTTACTCCGTAATTTTATGGGTTTATAAATAATTTTTAACAGTGCCAGTAATTGTCGTAAACGCTGAAAGAATCTTTTCAAAACTAAAAATCATTAAAAATTATTAAGAAAATGCATGTGGCCAGAACGACTTTCAAACATTGTTATCCTTAATAAAGAAAAAGATACGACTTCAGAGTTTAAAACAGACAAATTATATAGATACTCGTATTTTAGACATTAAATTAAAATAATAAATGACATAAGATTATTCATGTTGTCGCGTGCACATGTCCATGTTTAACAAAACTAGTACCTATGTCTTTAGTCATAAAAAAAAAAAAAAAACTGTCGCGAGTTACGAAATATCAGAACATATAATAATATACTCAATGTACGTATCAGTAACTAAAGTGGACAATTACCATCGAGGTTGTTATTTTACAATAAAAAATTCCAATACAACTTCTAGGATACTTGTGAAATGCAATTCCGTAGGTTATCTATAACAAGGAACTGATTCCATTTATTAGTGAGACTAGGGAGCAGCAATGGCGGATGTATTATAACCGTTAAAACCTGAGCGCCTTCAGTAACTTAGCTGCTTTTTTACACTTCAATATGTACTTTATTTTAAACTAAATAAATACTATATTGTTCACTGGTATATTTTGTTACGACTTTATTATTCAAATCATTTAAAATTTTATTGTTGGAATTACGCACGCAACAGAACAATGATATAATCGTCCCCTTTAAAAAAAATATATCAAGCATTCGTTCACACTAAAAAATGTGAAGAAATTCACTATCCCAATAATTACAACATAATCGCTTACAGGAAATTCAGAAATTGTATATTGTTAATAATAATCAAACATATTATCACCAGAACATACGATGTGACTTATAAGTTATAATACACATAAAGCTTTTACAGGTAGGAGCTTTTCCGTTTGTGTACACAAGAACAGATAGAATACTAAAATATTTAAATGTATATGAAAATATTAAAAATTGTATTTCATAAAATTATTTCAGTATATTTAAACTGTATAACATTATTAAAGCGTCTGGGGGGGGGGATCCAGATCCACTACTTGTGGCGGAGTGATTGCGTGATCTAAGCGTTATATATGAACATTGACTTAACAGGAAGTATTCTGGCATCTGGCCCTACAAATCCGTATTCAATTACGTGCATTTAACACAACAACTACTGTAGAAATTCCTAAATTAATTAATATTTCTAATTAAAAAAAAAAAAATCAACAAATACATTGAAGTTTAAAGTATTTTTAAACCTGCAATGAAATATATTTGTTATAAAAAAAAGATTATATTGTTTGTTTAAATAGGATCGGTTGGTAATGTACATCTAACATGTTTAGAAAGATGGATCAATGAATGTGGTGTTGATCGGTGTGAGTTATGTCACTTTCAGTTTGCATCTGACCAAACACGTCGATACACAGTTTTGCAATCCTTAATGATTTGGACAAGGAACCCAATCCATCGAAAATTACTAATATCGGATTTTATTGTAGTAGTTATTCTAACGATTGTGGCGGTTTGCGTAATTGCATTAATATATGTGATTATGACTTCAAATAATAACAGGTAACAATTCCATGCTTATATTACTAAATTTGTGTACATAGAAAGATTTCTAAACAATTTATGTCACCTGAAGAATTTACAAGTGCATTGATAGCTTAAAATGTAGTTGATTAAATAGCATTTGATTTACAATTTGAAAAATAGAAAATTTGAGTAAAATATATACCTACTTTTTAATAATAATAATAATTTATTAAAATCAATAAATAAAAAACACCCTAAAGAGGTAAGAATACAGTAATATTTATAAGGAAGTAATAAGTAATAATTATTAAATGAAAATGTACATAAATTATTTGAATTAAAACACAAAGAATATTGGAATATTTAATTTTGTAGTCTTATGTAGGACATTTGTGATTTGGCGTACATGAAAACCGGTTGCTTCTAATTTCTGCTGTGTTCGTTATTGGGTGAAGGTTTCTTATGACTATGCGGTAGGCTTTGTCTTCTTGCATTTGATAGGTGTGATATTCGACTTCTGCGCCTTGTAAGAAATGGTTGATTGCTCGGTAGGTTTCTGGGTTTTTTGTTAGGATTTTGAGATTGTTAATGCTTGACTTAAGTGTGAAGTTTTCAGGACCCACAAGGTTGATGAGTTCCGAGCGTAGACTTACAAAGTCTTTAATTCTTTTGATTATTATAGGAGGGGGTAGATTTGCACTTTTTACCTGTGAAGTGTGTGCTTCAGGGTTGCTTACATCTAGGTATGGGTTTGGTGTAATTGTTTCGACTTCGATTACTTTAGATTGCGATAGAACATCAAATCGATTTCTTGAAATAAAGTTTTTTGTGTCTGTTGGTATTTTAGGTTAGAGAGCTTGATTCTGAGAAACTTGAGCGGTTTCTTTTTTCGGCTTGTTGTGTCCAGCCATCGTTATTTGGACTATTCAAATTATTTTGTGTGAGTGAAAGGCTCGCGTTGAGATTATTTGGCGATATGTTTAGGCGAGCATTCTGTATAATGGTTTTATTATTTATATTATTATTATTAATATTTTTATTTTTAATATTAGTTTTAGTTTTTGAATTCGGCCATAGTGTTATATTTGTCACGGAGATAAAGGTCACGCACTGCTACTCGACGTTCGCGATAACGCGACGGCTGTACGGTAATTAAGGCACTGAAATTATTACGAACTTGATTCACATTATATAACAGAATTACTAATATCATATAATAATATATTACATTCGTATAATGTATATGTATATAATGCTACAATATAATATAACATAAACATATATAAATTTGGGTAAAATTTAAACGTATATGACTGAGATCATAGCGGTATTTAACGGAGCGACGGAGAGGCATGCGTTAGGTACGGCTGCTCGCGTGATACTGGCTACGTTGATGCTGTGTATTTACTATTTACCAAAAATGTGCAGCCGGCAACCTGAATAAGGCAACCGTGCGTTCAATGGTGTTGCTGCCAGGTATTGCCCGCTCACGGGTGGATCGCTGGTTTGTGTTCTGCGATGAATAGTGGACTGTATATGAAAAGAGAAATTAAACGGATAACAAAGAGGTTAGGAATGGTCAAGACAGAATTAAAATTGCACACGAAAATAATGTATAAGTATGTACGCTAGTACGTCAAATTTTGTACATACTAATATTAATTTAAATAATATAATACACTGAATAATCTAATAGATAAGGTTAGAGGTGATAATAAATATACGAACATAAAATACTTAAATAATACACAAGGTTGGTGACAATGATATGATATTAATATGACGTTCTAATTAAAGCTAGTATGAAGCATACAAAAATAGTAGACATAGTCAAAAGCGATCAAAAAACAATAGAAATAAGAACCGGACTTAGGAAAAGTGATTTTTTTATCACAAATCATTTTTAATTTAATCTTACAGAAGTTAATTCGAGAAAAGAAGAATGGGATGATATTGAATTTTTCAACGGATACTTTCATAGGGCTTTTGATTTAATTTGAGCGTAGGTAGAAAAAAAATTGTAACTTAGGTATTTAAGCGAAAATACGATAATAGCATACATTTTGATAAATAACTAAAAAACTAATGGTTTTTGTTATTATTTTAATTGTAAATAATTAATTATTTTATTGTTATTTTGTTATTATTTTATCATAATAAAATGTTGAAAAATATCGATTACCAAAAAAAAAAAATGAAATATTTAAATTGTGCGTGTTTAATAAGATTCACATTTTATTATTGAGTAAATGATAATGTATTTAAGATGTATTAGTATGTAACGTGGTCGGGAGAACAACCAGTTAAATATAAGATACCCATGGAGAATCGTAGGATTCTATCGATATATTTAACCGTAGCTAGGGGTAGATATGGATTGAAAGGATCAAAGGATCGTAAAATATATTTAAGTAACAACAGACTCAGTGATAGTGACCATTAATTTATAATTTATAAAATATTTATTATATTGTACTTGCATACAGATAATCTAACTATCTTAAAACATATTGTGGCTGTGTTGTAGTCCTACGAAGTTCGTGTGTTGTTGTATTTTTGTAAATGGTGCACAGTGAATTGGTATCTTAATACATAGTGTGTATTGGCCATAGGTCTTACAAT